TCTTCTTCCTTTTGTCGATTTCTTCTTCTTCTTCCCTTTGTCTCTTTCTTCTTCTTCTTCTTCTTCTTCTTCCCTTTGTCTCTTTCTTCTTCTTCTTCTTCTTCTTCCCTTTGTCTCTTTCTTCTTCTTCTTCTTCTTCTTCTTCTTCTTCTTCTTCTTCTTCTTCCCTTTGTCCCTTCTTCTTCTTCTTCTTCCCTTTGTCTCTTTCTTCTTCTTCTTCTTCTTCTTCTTCTTCCCTTTGTCTCTTTCTTCTTCTTTTTCCCTTTGTCTCTTTCTTCTTCTTCTTCTTCTTCTTCTTCTTCTTCTTCTTCTTCTTCTTCCCTTTGTCTCTTTCTTCTTCTTCTTCTTCTTCTTCTTTTTCTTCTTCTTCTTCTTCTTCTTCTTCTTCTTTTTCTTCTTCTTCTTCTTCTTCCGTTTCTCTCTTTCTTCTTCTTCTTCTTCTTCTTCTTCTTCTTCCCTTTGTCTCCTTCTCATTCCAATTTCTTTCATTTCAGTTCCAATTGAGCGGCATTGTCTTTTTGAGAGTTGTTGCAGTTCAAGATATAGACCCTCGCTCCACTACTCTCGAAATGCACAAAAATACAAAAATCATGGCGGTGTATCTTTCCATGTTTAGCGGAAGATTCACTCTCGTTTTGCACATTTCGAGAGTATAGTGGAGCGACGAGGCCCATTCCCAGGACCATAACAATTTGCTTCTTCTATTGTTTGCCCCTTTTAAATTTAAATTTGCAACTTCAACCAGCGTGACGGCCAAACTTCACGCAGAAAATTAAAAAAAAAAAAAAAAAAAAAAAAACTTCACGCTGCACAATACGTAGGAAAATGGAAAAAAACGGAGGACGAATGGAACCCGAGGCTGAGAGAGAACGGGTTCTGAACCAGAGAGGGGTAGAACAGAAAATTGGTGCAACCGTGGCACAGAGGGGCAGCAAAAGGGGAAAGAACTAGACCAAGGTTCCACTAGACCTAGGTCCCACTTTAATCAGATGCTACGCTGGACTACCGTCTTACCCCGAACAGAACGCACCCTCATTCTGTCTGTATCTGGCCGGAAACATACCTTGTATACGTTCCTTTTCAGGGTGCGTTATGTTCGGGGAAGCCGTTAGTGGGTCATTGGTCTCTGTAGGGAGCGTAGATTGATTATAGGTATCATCATCAGTCCCACTAGACGACCGAGGTCCCACTAGAAGACCGAGGTCCCACTAGACCAAGGTCCCACTAGACGACCGAAGTCCCACTAGAAGACCGAGGTCCCACTAGACCAAGGTTCGACTTCAATCAGATGCTCCGTTGGTGGCCGATGATCCGAATAAGGAAATCCACGGTCCAGAGGACGAAGAAGAACCCACAGGCAAGTGGTTATTTTTTTTTATTTATTTATTTTTTTAGGTGGGGTAGCAAGTGGTATTTCACTCGCTGGTGGGAGGGAAAAGGGGCCTTTAAGGCGAGGGCATGGGAAAATGGGGGTACAGATGGCATTCAGGGAGACCTGGCTGACGGTATAGGATGAAGAAAGACAGAGATTGGGGCAAGGGGATAACTAATGTCGTTGGAAAACTCTCCCCTCCTCCCCCCAAGATATCCTATTTCCTCCCCCTCTTCGCTCCTCTTCCTCCTCCTAATCCTAATACTTCCTCCTCCTCTACTCATGTAGATGTAATCCTCCTCCTCCTCCTCCTCCGCCGCCGCCTCCTCCTCCTCCGCCGCCGCCGCCTCCTCCTCCTCCTCCGCCTCCTCCTCCTCATTCTCCTCCTCCTCCTCCTCCTCCCCCTCCTCTACCTTCTCCTCCTCCTCCTCCTGTTCTTCACTGCCTCCTACCTTCTTCCCCCCAATACAATGTACGGTCATTCTAGCTGTATTTGGGGTATCTTTCAGTCTAAATACAGCTTTAACATATTCCGGGGGAAGAAGATAGTTCTCCTCCTCCTCCTCCTGTCCTCCTCCTCCT